GGTGGTAGCAGGGGAGAAATTCCTCGGGAGGAGTAGAAACGGCCTCGAAGGGAGCAATGGACCAGGGGTTGGGTTCAAGGATGAAAGTATCCTGTTTTGGGATTAAGAATTTTTATTACGGGGGAGGGGGGGGCGGGGGGCGCTGTGGGGGATGCCCTCCCTGAGTCGGCGTGTCAGCAGGCTCCTCTGCTCACACCTCCACAGAAAACGCCATGTCAGGGGCTCTGTCCTGCGTGCTGCCCACACGCCACACGCCCCATCTCTGCCAGGCCCTGTGCGCTGAGGGTGCGGCCTGCACACAGGCTGTTACTCGGGGCCTGGAGACCGTCTCCCTGAGGCGGCAGCTCATCCTGCCCGAGGCCCGGCCCAGGGCCCAGCTATGGAGGGGACCCGGCAGGGCACAGCCCGAGGCACCTCGGTGGGCTCCCTTCGCCTGTGATGCTCTGTGCCACCCCCTCCCAACCCCAACTGCAACGAGGCAGTGGGCGCTGGCCACGTGCTGGGCGGGGCTGCTTGGCCTGGCAGGGTCCACTGCCGCAGGTGCCTGTGGAGAGCGCTGGGCAGGCTGAGCCCACGCCCTGAGGGACAGGCACCGAGTCTCAGCTAAGAATCCCACCGCATGCCCGGCACCGCCCGGGCACACAATGAAAATGCCCCCACGTCAGAGAGAGCGGTGCAATGGCACCAAGGCCCTTAGAGGTGGGAGGGCAGACAGAGCGCCAGAGAGAGTCCTGGGAACAAGAAAGAGCCTCCCCAGCCCCAGGATCAGCTCGCAGGGGCTGGGATCTGGGCCCAGAGCAGGGCTGGCCCAAGGCAACACTGCCCTGCTCCACCGAGGGTCCCTGCACACGGCCATCCAGGGCAGGCCTCTCCGGGGGAGGCCATCTCCCCGCTCACCTGAGTGGCGTGGCACACCCCTCACCCTACCTCTGGCCTGCAGACCCCACCCCCGAAGCAACAGTCCAGGGGAAGCAAGGGCACCTTGGAAGGTGGCCTGGATGAGGAGGCAGGCGTCCTGCCAGGGGCTCAGAGCCAGCCCCGCAGCGGCCTGCTCACCAGGCCTCAGCAAAGCCTGGAGCCCGAGGCCACTGCTCCGGGCCTGTTCCTGCCCCTGCTAACACATGGAGGCCCCCCTCCGGGCGTGTTCCTGCCCCTGCTAACACACGGAGGCCCCTCTCCGGGCGTGTTCCTGCCCCTGCTAACACCTGGAGGCCCAATAATCCGGGCGTGTTCCTGCCCCTGCTAACACACGG